CGCTTGGCCGTAAATTACGGTTTAAGTTTTTTTTCCCTAAAAAGTGACCCCAACTAACTTAGAACCTTAAAAAAAGCAAAGAACCGTCCCGTGCTTCTCCCAAGTTCCCCAATCAAATTTGAGGCAAATCAGTCCATGGGTGTTTGAGTTATCATCCGACATCCACACAAAAAACAAAGATTACTACTTTATGTATAAATTACCTCCACATTGGTAAGAAATCCCTCCGATTCTGAATATTCAACCCTTGTAACATCTTCTAAAAATTAAAAAGAGTTCAAAACTAAACTAAAAAAAAATTAAATCTAATGATTCTCATTTGAAATTTGAAAAACTTTTAAAGGTATTTTTTACCCCATTAACAATTTTTTGTTTTTGTACCAACTGAAGCAATTTTTTTGAGAAAAATTATTTTTTTTTCTCACTTTTTATGTTGTTTATTCCTTACAATTTGACTAAATGATGTCATTATTTTATTGATATCGGTATTTAACAAAAAAAAGCAAAAATGTGGTTATACCTTTTATTAAAAGTTCTCAGATATTAACAAAGAGAAAGAAAACAACGACTATAGAAAAAAAAATATCTACAAATTAACAGTTGTAGGCGATTATATCAATGCAATGAAGAAAAATTTCAATTTCAATTTTGATTTATATTATGTTGTATGGATGGATACACATAAACATTAAGTTAAAAGAGACGCTGTCAATGATTACTTGTAAACTTGTACTTCGAATGAAGCTTGTTAATAATAAAAACTTAAATAAAAGTCGTCATCATTGTATTGATATAATCTCTTACCACTCTAACCACCCTAAAAAAGATAAAATCAACATTAAGTTAAAAGAGACGCTATCAATGATTACTTGTAAACTTGTACTTCGAAAGAAGCTTGTTAATAATAAAAACTTAAATAAAAGTCGTCATAATTGTATTGATATAATCTCTTACCACTCTAACCACCCTAAAAGAATAAAATCAACAAAAGTTAACAAAAAACCTAAAGAAACAAAAATCTCATACTTTTTACTCTCTGAAGACTATACAACCGTACACTTCCCTTGCCACCTAAATATAAGAAATTAAAAGTTCTCAGATATTAACAAAGAGAAAGAAAAAAACTACTATTGAAAAAAAATATCTACAAATTAAGAGGAAACAACAGTTGTAGGCGATTATATCAATGCAATGAAGAAAACTTTCGATTTTAATTTTGATTTATTATGTTGTATGGATACACATAAAGATTAAGCTAAAAGAGACGCTGTCAATGATTACTTGTAAACTTGTATTTCGAATGAAGCTTGTTAATAATAAAAACTTAAATAAAAGTCGTCATCATTGTATTGATATAATCACTTACCACTCTAACCACCCTAAACAGAAAAATATTTATATTATGTTGTATGGATGGATACACATAAACATTAAGTTAAAAGAGACGCTGTCAATGATTACTTGTAAACTTGTATTTCGAATGAAGCTTGTTAATAATAAAAGTCGTCATCATTGTATTGATATGATCTCTTACCACTGTAACGGTGACATAAAACGCCTCAACACGGAAATGCCTCAAAAAAACAGAATCATAAAACTAATTTAATGTCGTCTTCTCTCGACTTAAAATTAAAAAGACTATATTCTAACGATTTTCACAGCCATGGCCGCAGCGCTCGGCCTCCTAGCCTATTCTAGCCTCAGCGCACGGCCCACTAGCCTGTCCTAGTCGCAGCGCTCGGCCCCCTAGCCCATCCTAGCCGCAGCGCTCGGCCCCCTCCGTAGCCTGCGGCGCAACCTAACTTACCCTAAATTAATGGTATAATAATTGTTAAAATATTTTTTTTAATGTGAGAAGACGACATTAAATTAGTTTTATGAGTCAGTTTTTTGAGGCATTTCCGTGTTGAGGCGTTTCCATGTCACCCACTGTAACCACCCTAAAAAAGATCAGATCAATAAAAGTTAACAAAAAAAACTTAAAGAAACAAAAATCTTATACTTTTTACTCTCTGAAGACTATACAACCGTACACTTCCCTTGCCACCTAAATATAAGAAATAATTATTTTTTTAAATATTTTTTTTTTTAAGTTTTAAAAGGTGAAAAATCTTACCTTGAACCAAAATGATGCTGTTCATAATAGATACATCGGAAGTATCAGATCCGAACATGGATCTCCTAAAGATCAAAAATCATTTTCAAAAAAATATTCCAAAGTTAAAATGCCGAAGTTTATCAAACCCAATCTAAATAGCAGTGCTAAGGATCCGGATCCGGATCCGTTGGATCCGCAAGGATTTGGCTTCCTGAATCCGGATCCAAGGGGCAAAATACTGCAAAAAAAATGTTTATTCTCAAAACCCGAATCTGAACTAATAAAAAAGAGAGATTATAAAATTTTCCTAATTTCTGAAACAAGCGAAAAAATATTACAAAAAAATGAAAATTCTGCATTGAATAAAAAATTAAGTAAATTTAAAGAAATAACCTGGATCCGGATCCATTTTTTTCCAGTGCGGATGCAGGATCCGGATCTGCATCAAAATTAAATGGATCCTAAGCACTGCAAAATATCCATTTATATAATCGGATTTTTGACTGAAATTATTTGGAGAACGACTGAAGGTTAATGAAAAAGTATCGAGTTTTATTTAAATCGAGATAAAAAAGTACTGTGCTTAAATCGCAATTTTGTTAAAAATCTTTAAACTTCAGAGGGCTTCTGCAAACTTTCCAAGTGACTTATAGAAAAAATATCAGGGTTGTATATATTTTTTGAGGGGGGGGGAATAAAAAATAGACAAATGTTTCCATTTTTTATGATTTTAATAAAAAAAATTCAATTATTTTCCCCTAAAAATTTATTTACCCAATTCAGCTAAAAAATCCTAAAAAAAAGAATTTTTTATGATTTCTGGTAAAAAAAATTTCAGAAGGAGGGGTGGAGGGGAATAGGAAAAAATGATTTCACAAACGTTAACTATATTAGCCCTGATGGTATTTGAGATGGCACTTTTCATTTTCGAGGGTCAAAATGGAACACCTGTTAATTATTTGCGTTGAACCTTTGGCTAAGCCGTAAACTTTTGAAAAGATTATTAGAGGATTTTAAAAAACGGTTAATCGGTAAGAACACGTCCAAATTATTCCTTTCAATCAAAAATTTCTGGGATCTAAGACATTATTAAAATATTTCCACCATAAAAAAATAACTATAGAAAATTCTATTGTTTTTATCGCTTTTTTGACCTTATAATAAAACAGAAATAGTTCTCCACGAAGAAAAACAAATATAAACAAAATACTTCAAAGAATTTTGTATTTTTAGTAAATTACGCAAAATAACTAATTCAGTTTAAAAAGGATGACAATTTATAATTAACATACACTGACGGCATACGGTGCAAACTTTCACATGGTTTCAGTTTTTAACAACAACTACATCAAAAACATGATCTAGCATGGGTGTATATTGTTCAGAAAAACCCCTCAGGGGGGGGGGGGTTGATGATGTAGATGATATGCGGGAAAAAATGAAGAAACTTTTTTCATTCTTTTTATTACTTTTAACCTAAAAATGTATTGATGTTATTTCCCCCATTTCAGCGGTTAAAACCTTGATCAAATGTTGACCCTCAACGCAAGCAAAAATCACTTCTGTGAGAAGAAAAATGATTTTTTTCGGGAAAATATACACCCCTGCAATTAAGCAAGGTTTTTTTACTAAAATAGTTAACAAATAGCCTCCTTCTCTGTTTTAGCAAAACGACATGTAGTATGGAAGGAAAATTTAATTCATCATTGATATTTATAAAAATCTTTTTTAACAATTAATGAATAAAAAAATGAAGATACTGACTTGATTTCCCAGTGCTCTATACAACGAAGTGGAGAATACTCTAATATTATTATTCGGAGCAGTAGATCTTCTAGAGTAAAGAGTAGAGAGTAAAGAGTAGAGAATAGAGAGTAGAGAGTAGAGAGTAGAGAGTAGAGAGTAGAGAGTAGAGAGTAGAGAGTAGAGAGTAGAGAGTAGAGAGTAGAGAGTANGGACAAGAAATGTACTGGACAAGAAATGTAGTGAACAAGAAATGTAGTGGACAAGAAATGTACTGGACAAGAAATGTAGTGAACAAGAAATGTAGTGGACAAGAAATGTACTGGACAAGAAATGTAGTGAACAAGAAATGTAGTGGACAAGAAATGTACTGGACAAGAAATGTAGTGAACAAGAAATGTAGTGGACAAGAAATGTACTGGACAAGAAATGTAGTGAACAAGAAATGTACTGGACAAGAAATGTAGTGGAAAAGAAATGTAGTGGACAAGAAATGTAGTGGACAGGAAATGTGGTGGACAAGAAATGTAGAGGACAAGAAATGTAGTGGACAAGAAATGTAGTGGACAAGAAATGTAGTGGCCAAGAAATGTAGTGGACAAGAAATGTAGTGAACAAGAAATGAAATGTTTCCTTCCCTGAATCTTTTTCGAAGATTTCCAGTTTTCAAATTATACTCCTCCAGTGTTGAATCTGACCTTGAAAAAGACATGGGTAAAAAANAATGTAGTGAACAAGAAATGAAATGTTTCCTTCCCTGAATCTTTTTCGAAGATTTCCAGTTTTCAAATTATACTCCTCCAGTGTTGAATCTGACCTTGAAAAAGACATGGGTAAAAAAAGTGGATAAATTAAAAATATGAAAAGTTTAAAATATGATAAACAAAATTGTGAAAATAATCAGTATGAAAATAAATGATGTAAACTACATAAGATATGAAAAATTTAAAAAATGTAAAATTGATAATATGACAAATAGAAATATGAAAATAAAAAAATTAAAATTAAAACCATGTCTTAAAAAAAAATATGAAAGGGGATGGTGGAGATTGTCCTATTTGGTGAGGGGGGGGAGGGATCCCTCCCTTCATTTTTTGTTTAAATCTTCCAATTTTTTTGTAATCAAAATTCCTCAAATCAAATCAAATTGAATTTTAATGACCTATGATGACATCTAATGACCCCTACAAATAGAAAATTTTAACAGTGTTTGACCTTCTAATGACATCTAACGACCTCTATAAATGGCCTAAAATGACCTCCAAAATAAGTTATAACTTTGACTTTATGCATATCAAACTAAAGAACCCAGGGAATAAAGTAACAGCAACGAATCCAGTGTTTGGCCTTATAATGACCTGTAACGACCTCTAATGACCTATAAATTACCTCCAGAATAAAAATATTTTAACAAAGGCTTCATGCATATCAAACGAAAGCTAGGAACCCAGGGAATATAGGTGAAGAAACGAATCCAGTGTTTGACCTTCTAATGACATCTTACGACCTCTATAGATCAATATTATACAAAAATGGATCCGGATCTGACTTCTACAAAAATGGTTCCGGATCTGTCTTGTACAAAAAAGGATCCGGATCCATCTTGTACAAAAATTGTTCCGGATCTGTCTTATACAAAAAGGATCTGGATCCGTCTTGTACAAAAATGGTTCCGGATCTGTCTTGTACAAAAAAGGATCCGGATCCATCTTGTACAAAAATAGTTCCGGATCTGTCTTGTACAAAAAAGGATCCGGATCTGTCTTGTACAGGGGCAGGGCAGTGCACCCTGCTGCCTGGGCGGTCTGGGGGGCCCATAATGGGGTCTCTTGCAGATTTCACTTCCTTATGATTCCTTATAAAAATGGTTTCGGATCTGTCTTGAACAAAAATGGATCCGGATCAAGTAAATGAATATTTCTACAAAGTTCACCTTGCCTTAAGCTCTGACTTTCTTATCCTATATCTTTGCAACCCAATGCTCGACAAATTCTAAGAAAATGCTTAGAAAATGACTGCTCTTAGCACTATTCCTACAGGGTGGGGGGATCGACTTGACCCCACCCCCCTGTAGTTTTTCTTACATATTTCAAAAAGTATTGATCTGAGGCTGATGAAATTTTCCGACTTTTCCAAATTACCCATATTACCTTTCGGTTTAAACAGAGCTTTTATACTAACCGCATGAGTCCCCAGCAACACAGAAGTTGTCATATTTTGATAATTTGTAGCTTTTTGGAAAGCCTATGACATAATGAAACGGATTGCACAAGTTTTGCAAATAAATTTTTCCAAATTATTTGCATAAAACCCGAAAAAAGAAATTTGCATATTTTTAGTTTTTCTTCATTACACATTTGCAAACTTTTTTTTTGTATATTTGTAAAGGCATGCCCAAGGGCTTTTCAAAAATGTATATTTTATCATTTTCCAGACATTTTTATTGCAAACATTTTTACTATATAACTGGATTTTGCCAAAAAAATAATTATATTCGCAAATTTGTCATATTTGGACAGTGAATATGAAATTTGGAGGAGTAGGGTCAAATTCCCCCCAGCGCACCCAGCAGGAATAGGGTTAAGTAAATACTGATAAATGATTCTTATAAAAAAATGCTTGTAAAATGACAGATCTTAAGAAAATGCTTAAAAAATGACTGTTCCCTGTGTGCTCAGAGTCTCTTATGATAGCCTGATCTTCCCACCTAAAAATGATGAATTATTAAGGACAAATTGTTATATGTACGCAAATGTACGCAATGTACCAAGATAAACTTCTGAAAAACGACAGAATTACAAACTCCTGAATGTACAAACCGCGGATTAACAAACTCCTGAAAGTACAATTTGCGGAAGTACAAGCTCATGCAAATACAAAATGCGGAAATACAAACTCCTGAAGCTTGCTCCGCCCTCTTGCTAGCAATTTCTTGCTGCAGCATTCGGCCCACTAGTCCAACCTAGTTGAATCAAGGGGACAAAATTTAAACTGTAAATTCAAAACATTCGGCTTCTTTGATATAAGACATAAGTATATGATACTTCAAAGGTACACATGAAGGTACAAAAAAAGGATTGTTTAAAAAAAATCGTTATTTATTATACTGTTATGTGATTAAATACTAATTAGTATTATTAGTAGTAATTAGTAGGGCTGGAAATCAATTTTTAAAAAATATGGGAAGCTTGATAAATGCGATTTAGTTTTTTAATTATCCTAAACTCATAATAAAGAAATGTTTCAATGTATCTATGCTAAAATATAAACTTTTAGGTTTAATGCATTATTTTTTAACAATTAATTTTTAAATTCAATTTTTTTATCAAGACTTTAATGCATTATTTTTTGTTAATTTTACCTTGGTATTGCTGGAATTGACCAGAGTTTTCTAAAAATAAATATTAATGATTATAAAGATTTATTCACACACAAAGATATAAATACATGTAGTCTAAATTTGTTTAAATAAATTTTTGAAAATACCGGTTTCCAACACAATAGAGAAAAATATGCAAATTTATGCACAAATAAATAGACAACATTGATTATTACTCATTACATAACATATTTATCATTTCTGTTATTACGTAATCATCGAATCCTTCAACATATAAACTATTCATTCTTGTACTTAAAAGTTCTTGTAAAACCGGAACTTTCCATGCATGTTCCAATGGGACATCAAAATATTTCATTTGTTTCTTAACTAACATTTCACTAAGATTTACTAATATCACGTACATTCAAAAACAACTACTTTACCACATAATTACAAACTTAAAGCGTAAGCGTAACTTTATGTGACCCTACATGCAGAGATGAAAATGTCCGATTCACATTGGTACTATTAAAAGCTTTGTCTGATCAAGTATGAATAAGTTATTAATGTTTGTGTTTCTTTTAAACGGTGTATTTTCATTTGCGGTTTCTCTGCAAAAATGACTTGCGCATTTAAGCCTGTAAAAAGCAATGGAGAAACTCACCGAAATAAAAGTTAAACCCTTTTGAAGTCAGAATATTCTACATTTTGTATCAGATAAAGGCTCCAGAGGTAACGTTGTAAATCCGACATTGCCATCTTTGCATGGAAGGTCAATTGAAATTAAACTGGCAGTCCCTTTAACAAGACTATTCATACATAAATTGATTTCTTGGTTTATTTAAATCTAATAAACTTTATACGGCTGAACCGATCAGACCCTACCTTCTATAGTGGGCATTTGTATAACCCAGAAGAAGGTTTTTGGACGATCAGAACTAAGAACTCGATCTAACTAACTAAACGGCTGAACCGATCAGACCCAAACCTTCTAGTGGGCATTTGTATAACCATGAAGAAGGTTTTTGGACGATCAGAACTAAGAGCTCTCCAACTCCAAAGTCATGGATATGAAAATCGAAGTATGAAAACAAACTAGCATATATTGAGAACCTAAACCCTTGTTATTTACAACTAAATTCAAGGAAAATAAATGTATGAAACATCATCTCACCCATCTTCAATATATATGTTAGCTGTAGCTGGCCAAACGGGTAAACCAAGTTAGCTGAATTTTTTTTGGTTACTCAGGGTTAAAAAAATTTCATAATAATCTTAATTAATTTATCATTCCAAAACAAAAATTAAACGTCCTTATTACGTTGTTTGTATTCCGGAAATCTCCATTAGTTGAATGTTACAGTATGCTGATAATATTTAAAAATATTTAAAAATAAACATCAATTCCATCAATCAAGGGTAAAAATTACCTAATAATGTGCACATCGTTGATGACAGAGTAGCAGTCTATTTTCTAAATAAAAATTATAAAATTTGAAGCTTTTTAGAGATTATATTTTATAAATTTGAGCTGAGTTGCTGAGCTACAACACCGCACTAGATTAAATCTTGAATAACCGATTCAAAGTTAAAGATTTAGGAGGATTTGAATCGGTGACTCAGGATATTAACCGGTGCTAGGTAGTTTAGCAACCTCTCCAATTCCTTAAATTCGAACCCTGGTGGAACCAACCATATTTGAGCCGCGTCTCAAACTTGAGCCGCGGCTCTAATTCATTAAATTCGAACCCTGGTTTCTCAGTCCCAATTCACAGGAAGACATCTACAGACTTTACTAATTAAATTAATAAAAATCCGGAAACACTGTCGAGACTATGTTTACTAATACTTTCAAAAAGAAATATTCCCGTCGAAGAAATTAAGGATGAATATTAAATACTAGGCCTAAAGGAATCTTTGTGCTCCCTGTTTTTTTTTTTTGAAAATTCAGCTTTAAACTCTTGTTTTTCAAGCAAATATTAAATTAGTAAAAATGGCGAACATTAAAAAATGGCCACATATTTTTCCGGGGAAAACAAATTTGACGTTCTATAAACTTTCTCCGGATTACCACAAAAAAAAGCATTAAGGCACGATCACTGATCAGTTCAGCCGTTTTGACGTTTACTGGAAACAGACAGACAGACAAACCAAATATATTTATAGAAGGAAGAAGGAAAAACTATGAAGGATAAATATGAGGAAGAGGATCGTGTTCATGTATTATTGATCTTTATAAACCATGTATTACAAATCCTCAAATAAAGCGGTAGATCTCTTTTAAATTAAGGATTTTATTTTATCTTTAATAAGTCTAAGAATTCAAAATAAAATCATGATTTAAATTCAAGGATGATTCAATTTTTTACTGCAGACCAATCAGATAAAAATGTAAAATTGATAACCATCAATATTTAATTCTTTTCTATGTTTACCTCCATTATTTGACATTTTAAGCCATTTTTAATGGTTAGCATGGTCGAATTTATAAAAAAAAAATTTGTCTCGATTTATCAAAAAAAAGCATTTTGTTCGTAATTTACAAATATTCAGAAAGCAAAACTACTTTTTTCATTTAGCGATTAAAAATTATTATGTTCAATTCGTCAATTTTATTTCATGTCACTGCAGATAAGATTGATTTTTTTTTAATAATTTAAATTGGTAAAAAAATCTCACCTTTGTCACTGAATTTTTTACAAATAATTTCCCGTTCGAGTAGTGTACTAGTCCTTCACAAAACCATAGTTTATTCTTTTATCAATTATGAAGTACCATGTTTACATCTTGATCGTCTATAAGCGTAATTTCTAGTGACCCCTCATGCAAAGATTACAATGCCCGATTTACAAGCATAAATCAGATATCAAAGTTTTAAACTGTTTATTTTCATTTGCGGTTTCTCTAAGAAAGTGACTTGTTCATTTCTTGTTTATAAGAAGTATTGGAGAAACTCACATACTTGAATGCTTTTCAAGTCAGAAAAACACCGGTATCTTACAAATGTTTGATCAGATAAAGGCTTTTAGGATCTGTACATGGAGGGTCACTTGAAATTACGCTTACGGTCCCTTTCAGTTGAAGTAAGGTTCAAAGTTTATTGTTTAAAAAAAGTTACAAACTTCAGCAATTTATTAAGCTTAGAAGTAGCTTAAACTGTGAAATCTCAAGTGATGGTTTGAACAAATTCAAAAACCTTTTAAAAGGGGTATACCCTTCACAGACATTATTAAATATCTGATTATTTTTATCAATATTTATCTAAATCATAAAATCTTTCTTGAAACACTGAATTCAAAAATGTCAAAATCGTAAAAATCCGCAAAAAATTAAACAAATTAGAGGCAAAAATTGACCCTCTGTGGATCGAGGTGGAATTTTATATACCCAAATACACATGTTTTAAAAAGTAACTTTTTTAACAAAGAAATCGATCTTAGTTAAGGTTCTTTAACTTTAAAAATTGGCCCAATCCCCTTTTTTAATTAAAAAAACTTCAAATTTTTCTGTCAAAGGATATCAAAGGAAACGTTGTATATTGGATATAGAGCCAACCTTACCAGTGGTGTACTGTATAATTTTACAATCAAATCCCAACTCCGGGGGGGGGGGGGGAGAAAAATATTTTTGATGAATTGGGGGAAAAAATTTATTTCCCCCTGAAAATCAATTATTTTTCACAATTCAGCGAAAACAAACCCAACTCATGGGGGAATAAATAATTTTTAAAGAGTCAAGGGGGGGATAATTAAAAAAAAATATACATCCCAAGAGCCAACAGACAAGGATGAATTACGGATATACCAGAAAGAATAATGAGAAATCAAATGACCAAATTACTCGATGACAAGTCAAAGGTTTAAAGGGTACCATAGAAAATCGGGCATTACCCTCTTTGCATGGAGGGTCACTTGAAATTACGATTTCAGCCCCTTTAAATGATTAAAGGATGGGGATAGAGAATGAATATAAAGCTGGTTTCCTTGTGTAGATATTCTTGTGATCTCTGTGTATTCTCGTTTGCTCTTGTTACTCACTTAATCAACCACAATAAAACTTAATAAAACAATTGAACTTGTTGATTTTAATGGTAAGCTCAAATAAATTAACAAATATTTTAAGAAAAATACTCCTTAATAAAAAACTGAATACAAGCCTTCACGTGTGAAGGGGGGGGGGGTGACTCTCGAAAATATCCACCGAATGAAACGGTGAATTTCTATCATGATTTTTTAAAAATTTATTAATTGATTGTCGATTGCCTAAATGTTTTAGAATACTGAGATCGAGAGCAACTTTGGTCTGGCGTGAACAAGTCCTGAAATATAAAACCACTACAGTAGCAATCAGTATTTGGGATTCATTTATGATTGATGCGGATCCGCCGTGCCCTGGAAAAAAGGATCCGGGTTTGGATTAAAAACTAGATCCGAATCTGGATCCCAAAACTAGATCCGGATCTGAATTCCAAAACTTGATCCAGATCGGGACCCCAAAACTAGCTCCGGATTGGGATTCAAACTAAACAGGGATCTGAAATTCAAAACCAGGTCCGGATCTGGATATAATACAAGATCCGAATCTAGATACAAAACTAGATCGAAAGCTAGATCTTAAGCCAAAACTAGATCGGGATCTGGATCCAAAACTAGATCCGGATCTATATCTAATACTAGATCCGGATCTAGATCCAAAACTAGATTAGGATCTGGATCAAAAGCTAGATCTGTGTCAAAAACCAAATCCGGATAGAGGTTCTTCAAGCTTTACTGAAATAAAATTTTCCCACATATTTATACTTATTTGCTTGATCTTATGCTGAAGCTTGAACCAGTCAGAGATTAAGAAGCTTTAAATAATATCTCATTGAATGACACAATTTGCCTTTTGAGTATCAACCAGGTCGTGGTTGATATTTCTTCCTCGGGATCCGGATCCCAATCACTGGAAGCGATCACTAATCATCAGAATGATTCAAGAACAGAGTAGGGGTATAAACTTTAAAGAACTATACCCTTCCCCCAATTTGTGATTTTTAGTGGAAAGAAAAATGAAAAATTCTACAACAAAAGACAACTTGTATTATCCCTTATGATACTTTTCAGCCAAAAATTAAGTATTTTCCTCTAAAGATCATTTGTTTCCCCAATTCAGCGAATTAATCCATTAAAAAAAATGTTGCACTACGAGCAAAAATAAATAACTTCTGGAGGAAAATTGTGGGGGGGGGAGGGGGAAATTTCAAAAAAAATATATATATATGAGGGGGAAATGCATGGAAAACAATATAAAATAAAAAAAATATATATATATGAGGGGGAAATGCATGGAAAACAATATAAAATTAGGTGAGAGGTTTAATGCAAATCTAACAAAACTACCAGTGTTTCGGATCCGTATCATATTGATGCGGATCCGGATCCGCGGATCCGCATCCGTGATGATGGATCCGGATCCTGACTCTGATACGGATCCGGATCCGTAACACGTATCATAGAAAAAAATATTTGTCACGTCTCTTCAATTGATTTGAACTAGTTTTAAATTAAAAGATATTGGATATTAACCTTGATTTAACACCACCATAAGATCGATTCTGCAACAATTTAACAACATTTTCATAATTCGTCATCTAGAATCGAAAAAGAGGTAAATATTACACATTGTGATGCATTAATTCGAAAATAATAACATGGTTGGTTCCGTGAAAACCAATCTCATAGAATTAATAAAAAACCCTGACACAGTGTTGATATTGAAACATTTTCGTAAAACTGTAGTATAATCGGACCGACTAAACAAGAATGGTTTGTTTTCATTTCAACATTAAAGCGCAACCAGGCTGAAAATGCCGCGAAACGTTTTTTTCACAGAAATCAGACAGTCAAAGACGATCTACTAATGTTCTACTTTATTTGTAAACTTTTAAACAAATGTTCAACATTACTATTTAATGACCATCTTCATTTGCGTTTGACATATTTTAAGTAAAAAGAATTCAATTTGATAGAAATGTGTTGCCCTAGGGTTTCTAATTTTTAAAGAACGTAAATATTTCAATTTACAAATACATTATTTATACCTGGATGACAAGCAAGAGTTCTAGATTTCCCTTACAGGATTTCCATCTTTAGTAAGCAGTACAGTTTTCATCGTATATACATATTTAGGACGTGTAACTCAGATGTGTATTAAGGGGGGGGGGGCGAGAACCCAGGGCCCCCTCGGCCCTCCCTGCGCTGCATATATTATACATACATCCAAATATTTTCGGTTTTTAACAATTGACAATTTCTTAGTATCAATAAGTTTCTTGATTTATAATAATTCACTATGTGTTTAAAGTCCCCTATTACAGTCTACGCATTTTTGTATTATTCATCCACTTGTCCTATAGTATTTTTGTTGAATTGGTTTGTGTAGTCTGCAGTAAGTTGTTCCCTTAAGTGACAAATTTTTTTCTGTCCAAATCCGTATAAAGTCTTTCTGTAGTCACTCTACCCTAGTTTTCCAGTAAGGGGGCTATACCTCTTTACTTCTCTTAGAGCCTGTAGTAAATGCCGTACTCTTAAAAGTTTGTCACATAAACTGTATCAGTCCAGGTTAAACCAGTCCACAATTTAATTCTAACTGATTGCCTTCGCGTTATAGTCTTTCCAACTTTTAAGGAACCCCATAACTGAACCCCGTATGAAAAATGGGGAATTGTAAGCTTTTCAACCCCATTGGGAGGAATCTTCCACAGCAGTCCAGTCCTCACAGCTGGTTACGTAAAAAACCGGTATAGTTGTGCATGGCTTGTATACCAATCAGGACTTGCTCCTTCTTTTTTTCACTCTAAAAAATAAGATATTTGTAGAGAGTTTTTAATATATCACCAAACAATGGTATATATGTTAAAATGGATTTCCTCGTTCTGTTTGCTGTTTATGAATATAGCTGTCAAATTTTCAGCACAGCAGTCTGATCCCACAGCTGTATTTACAGCAGAGGAATATCAGGTTAAAATAAAATAATAATGATATCAGATGAAAATATTTTGATATTTCTATATTTCTTGTTTTTCATTTTCTTCGTCTTCGAGCATCTTTCAATCATATTTGGGTAATTTTGAAAATAATTATAATAATAATAATGATAATAATAATAATGATAATAATAATAATAATAATTATAATAATAATAATTATTATAATTACAGATGGCCGGTTTTGATTTTTCTCAGTTGCATCTTGTGAGAGAATATTCCACTGTATCCCCTGAATGTGAATCCCAACAAGTTCAAGTTAAAGTGTGAGTTTAACAACGTTAAAAAACTTTCATAAGCGCTAGAGGACTCCGATACAATTTTGTGATGCACAAAATGGGTATCACAACTAAAGTTGCATGAATTTGATATTCTTATCTTTTCAATGCACTTCCCATTTGTGATGAGAAGTTATATATCATTATTTATCTTTCTTTAAATTCTTTTGAATATACGAATGAACACGGTTCGAATTAGAAAAAGAACGGTATTCTAACATTTTGGATAAGATTATGGTTTAAAGGGTACCGTTGCAAATCAGACATTGCCATCTTTGCATGAAGGGTCATTTTAAATTACGCTTACAGTCCTTAAAGTGAAAAATTATTTTATAATTATCTGTTTGTCTTCATTATGCTAGTAGTTCTTTACTAAATAATTTATTACTTTACAATACTTTTACCGAAAATCAGCCAATTACAAGAAAGATTTTTTGACAAAATTTCATTCACGCAAGGAAATTTTTTTACTCCAAAATATACAAGAATCCAATACATTTTGTAAGAGATCTCCTCTTTTAATAATGATAGTTTTTGCCTATTCTTTAATTTAATTTTTATAACAAATAATAAACACTTTGATTTCAGATACTCGTATCCGATACTAGAGGAGGGGGAGATAATTAACACAAATATATCTATTGCCACTCCTTTGAATATTAAAAATACAAGACAAATATCAAGTATGACAGGAGAATATATAGGTTTGTTTAATCATATTATAAGAAAAATTTGATATGTGATCAATAATTTTTGCAAAAAATAGGGGTTCCTATAAAACTTTTATTAATACTCTTTTTTAAAGTTCAGTTTATCAATACCGAATTATTTTTCAGACCAGTTGATGTCAATCAGATCTTTATTTTTATTTGTAAGGATCGTTCTCCCGAAAGTAAGTCAACTTTGTTGTCACAGCAAGACACTTTTCAGAATGATCTCAAACTTGATCCATCAGAGTGTGTTTAAATCCTTCAAGGGCAATCAAGAGAAAGGGGAGATTGAGTTTTGAACGTGGGAAGGACTTTTGAGGATTTTTCTGGTTTTGATTTACATTTAAGACCCATAATCAATGTCCTCCCTGGGTATATACTATTTCAGAAACTAAGATCTTTGATTAGTTTCAAATCTTCACAACTGGTGTTTACAATGTAAAAACGCATATCTGTAATAGATACCTACTCCATAATAATTTGTTTAAAGAAAGGTATTTAAACCTTTTAAAGAATTGGACATAAATTGAATTCTCTTTTTTTTTTAATACTGAATTACAGTTTTTTAATTTAATAAAAACTGTCTTTTTCTGTTCATTCCTCTGAGTTCAGTCATAAAATCTCTAATGTATATTTAGATTCTCGTACTTCAAATATTAACTTTTTTGTTCTTAACTCCATAAAACCACCATTAAATTGCATAACATCGTTTCACAAAGAATTCTTGATCGTGATGTGTTTCAGGTTTCTGCTTGGGTTTCCCATCAATAAGCCTCCAAAGTTTTTTTTCCTCTGGTAAATATTCTAGATATTCCCATGCTGTGACAACAAAGCTATACACCAACAAATATATACACCTTGAAAAGATAACTCCTTCCATCACAACGATCTGCTTGACATTAACCTAAAGTACCCCCGAAAAATGATAGCAAAACTTATTGATCACAGACTGCATGATCACAGATCTGAGATTAAAACTTTTTGTTCAATTTAATCTTAAGCTAAGTTGACACTTCAAAGTCATTGCCCATTTTCTAATTTTTTTTCGAACATTAAACCATTTTGAAAGTCAAATTGTCAAAAAAGTAAAACCTTAATTTAGCATATCTTTTCTAAAAAAATATGGAAATGACAAAATTTAAAAAAACTTTTTGCAATTTTTTTTACTTTTTTATTTTTAACCCCTCTGTTGCCCCCTTAAAGGGGTAAAAGTATAAATAATGATTTTTTCTAAAGTTGCATCTGATGCACATCAGTAAAAAATTAAAATGTTATTCATTTTTAATTTTTATCATTTACATAAATATTTTAAATTTTTTAAAACTAATAATCTATTTTAATTAGATCTTACAATATTCTTACATATTTATATGATATCAGATGAAAATATTTTGATATTTCTATATTTCTTGTTTTTCATTTTCTTCGTCTTCGAGCATCTTTCAATCATATTTGGGTAATTTTGAAAATAAAAAGAACAGATTTTTTTGATGTCCTTGTAGTTTGCCACTTTACAAGAAAGACCTATTTTAAAGGGATCTTGCTTTTTTCTTAATTCTGTATTGCATGGAACTAGCTGAGAATTGAATTGAATATTGAATTGTTTACTTATGCGTCTACACTTTAAGCCTCTCCAAATAGTTCTTTTGACTTCTAGTTGTGGAGCAGGTAGGAGAGAGATAAGGAGGTTTGTAGGAGGAAGAGTATATGGAATTTCTCCCTGTGTTCCTTCTATTACATTCTTTCCAAGTTAAGGGGCATGAAGGAAACCCATAACAGCACCCCTTATTGGGAGTTGTAAGCCTTAAAGCCCCATTGAGAGGAATCTTCCACAGCAGTCAATTCCTCACAGCTGGTCATAGGGCTGGGCGCGTTAACAGTGGAACAATCGTTCTTTCCCGAGAACGAACGGAACAATCAAGAACAATCCCATTGTTCCGAAAAAAAACGAACGCTTAGAACGCGTTCTTAAAAATATTGGAACGATTAGTAAAAGAACGGAATGGAACGGAACGGGAATGGCTTGAAAAGAACGGTTAAAATTGTTAACGCGTTCTTATTATCAAGAACTTGTTCTAAGTTGGGAACGCATTTTAAATCAGGAATTCTTCAACTAAGAACGCCAAGAACGGAACGGAACGGGAAGACCGTTCTTCTACTCAGAACGGAACGGAACGGGACGGAACGGAACGAGAACGGAACAATAAAAAAAGAGGAACGAGAACGGAACGATTTAGCTGAAGGCCCTCGTTCTATAACGGAACGGAACGATTTCAAAAAAGTCGGAACGTGCCCAGCCCTAGCTGGTCAAATAAAAAACATGTATCCTTGTGCATGGCTTGTCCTCTTTCAGTTACACCAGGCTTATGAAGTCTTGTTTTATTTTATGTACATTCCTTACTCTCCTGAAGGATACAAGATGCGCAACTAAATGCAGCGCTCCACCAAACTGTAAAGCCGGGACTGCTATGAGAGANATATCGTCGTTTTCAGATTGGTTGCGTATTTGCTAAATATGATCTGTTTAAAACTTAGAACCTTATACCAAATCTTATATATGTAAGTTTTGGTATAATTTTGACACAGTTTTATATCAATTTCTCGAGACAGGAACTCCTGAAGTTCTTAGGTTTTAGCCTATACCCCCTTTCATTTTTCCTTTACAGTCCCTTTTTTGCATTTTTTACAAAATAAAACAGAGTTTTGAGTTGACAACTTCAAAGATTTTAATAAAGAATCTTTTTGTATATTATTAAACCACACTTATGGCTTATGCTGAAGAAAAAGGCACTATAATAAGCATTATTTAACCTATATTATTATTAAGGACTACATTTTGGACCCTCCCTCAGCCCTACCCTATGCTTTAAAAGGAGATAAAATGCCATACGGCGATGGACAACCTTTGATGATTGACCAAAGGTAATAATAAACTAATCATCCTAACCCTCTTTGACGATTGACCAAAGGTAATAATAAAATAATCATCCTAAACCCCTTTGATGATTAATAAAATGTAGGAATAAACTAATTACTCTGACCCCCTTTAAAGGTTGATCAATTAGGTAGGAATAATCTAATACTCTATCCCCCTTTGGCGATTGAGCAAAGGTAGGAATAAACTAATTACACTAACCCTCTTTGGTGATTGACCAAAGGAAGGATTATCTAATTACTATAACCCCCTTTGACGATTGCTCAAAGTTAGGAATAAAATTATCACCTTATCTTTGAAGACAAGCCAAAGGTAGTAATAATTAAACTAATAATTGACGATTGATCAAATTTAAGAATCATCTAGTCATCACACCTTTTGACTATTGGCAAAATGATTTAAAAAACTAACCATGCATGGTCCCCTTCTGAGTTTAAATATAATAAACCACAGATAGGAATAAACCAGGCCCCTCTCAAAAAAGTGAAAAAATTACGTCTTTAGATAATTATGTATTATTTTTAACAAATCAAATTGAACTCATTAAAAGCCTCAAAAAAACAATTTTTAACTTTCATAATTTATCATTATCACAATTTTATGTTATTTCTACCTAGGTACTTCCAAGAGAGCTTAAAGGGAGGATTCTTCATAGGTGAGTTATTATTAAAGGTACTGTTGACTAATTTTCATGTGACTCTCCATTTAAAGAGTTGCTTTCCCGATTCACAATGGTACCCTTTAAACATTTACCTAAGTAACAATTAGTGAGATAATAGGGTTTTTCTATTCTTAAAAGAGATAAATTTTGCCAGTTTACTTTCTTGTTTGCAATTTTCCTTCACAGAAATATTTTTTGAATAGGACGTACATCACAATTCACATGTCAACCCAAACTTGTGTAGAAAAAGTCGTTTTGGTCGATTTCTTTGTTTAGAGACACTATTTTTTTACATAATGTAATAAAATCACACTCATACAGAGTGGCCCATATAGGGTTTCCAATCGGAATTCCGTTTCAGAATTGCGCGCAATGGTTCTAGAATTGCGCGGAATAGTGTTGAATTGCGCGGAATAGTGTTGAATTGGGTGTTCAGTACACAAGCTTTCGTATTTTCAAGTTTGATTGAACAATTTTAAATTGTTCGTTTTTAAAAATCGGTAGTTTTTTCATTTCTCTGAACAATTCATTTTGTTCGCCCATCGTTAGCTTTTTTTTTCTCTCTGAACGACACCCTTTTCCACGAAAAATTTCGCTTTTTGTATATCTGGCCAAACGGCTGGACCGAATGGGCTGATTTATTTTGAGGGAACGCAAAGGGTGCCCAGGGAGTAACATATATGATAAATAAAATTCGACATTTTTTTTTCAAAACAATATATTGGCACTTTGGCTAGTTGTCTTATAAAACTCTAATGTTTTATATTTCAGAGGCTGGTGCATATAATGGGGAGGATGAATCCACCACACTTTACTTTGAACAAAAGTATTTTTTACATTTATCTTAAAATTTACATTTAACAAATTTTACAGGATTGTTCTCTCTCTGCTGACACGTCTGTGAACATTCTTTGATCCTATTCATGTGACACACTCTTTGATCCTATTCATGTGACACACTCTTTGATCCTATTCATGTTACACACTCTTTGATCCTATTCATGTAACACACTCTTTGATCCTATTCATGTTACACACTCTTTGATCCTATTCATGTTACACACTCTTTGATCCTATTCATGTTACACACTCTTTGATCCTATTCATGTTACACACTCTTTGATCCTATTCATNACATTTGAAAAAAAATTTTATCATGTTAAATCCTGACATGTTTATGAAAAGTAATTTACAACTGAACTAAATTAAAAAGAAAACAAAAGATGTAAAAATATGAATTTTAAATGATTTCATTAAAATAAAATTCAGTTTGGGTTAAATTATTGCGTGTTTTCAGTACAACTAGCTCCGCTTGCTGAAGAGCTATTGAAAGGATAAAATATATAAATTAATCATTTTTTGTTCTATAATCCGTGTAAGACAGCGAGAACCAGAAAACAGTGACATTTTTGTCGCCTTTATTCTTTTTAAATGTAAAAAGGATTTTAAAAATTCAAAACTAAAAATTTTCCTGAAAAAGTGCTCTGAACATTTTTAGAGAATCCGCAGTTACAAAGTCCATTCCTGCAATTGTAAAACGGTTTCCTTCTTTAATCAGCCATTTCAAGATTTATTGCTAAACCTTGGGATCGCCATAACTTTAAAGTTTTAAGTCGTCTTTAAAGTTTAAAGTCGTCTTCAAAGTTTTCAGTCGTCTTTAAAGTTTTCAGTCGTCTTTAAAGTTTTAAGTCGTCTTTAAAGTTTTAAGTCGTCTTTAAAGTTTAAAGTCGTCTTTAAAGTTTTAAGTCGTCTTTAAAGTTTTAAGTCGTCTTTAAAGTTTTAAGTCGTCTTTAAAGTCTCATTCTATGTGGCTAACCCTGGTTCACTGTGTGTGAAATAATATTTTGATTAAAGTTTTAATAAATAATGTTTTCAATTTAAAGGTCTAATAAAATATAAATTTATTTCTATTGTTGACATTATTTGTTTAGCTGTGTTTACACAAATTCTAAATTCTATGAAATTTCGATTTGTCAAGGCTTCCAAAATTTCCACGATTTCCAATCGCAAGATTTCCAAGATTTTCAAGATTTTCAGGAATTCAATGATTTTTTCCAGATTTCAATGATTGCCAATATCCTCAAGATTTCCAACATGCTCAAGATTTCAAAGACTTCAAAGAATACCAAGATTGCAATTTATCCAAAGAATACTCTCCATTAAAACCCATTATTACAGCAAAAGCTTAGTATTGGGTGAGAAAAAATGTCTGAAATCAAATATTTATTTCCGAACTGATACAGCAATGAGTAAAACTTTTCCCCACTTTTTGCGAGATAAACTCGCCAACTACAGGGTGTCCCACGAAACATGACAATTAGTGAATGGTTTTGAATGTTTTCTTCCATATATTATATTAATATATTAAAGACTTTTTGCAGTTAATTTCGTTAACACAATCTTTTACTCAGATATATTTTAGTTTGAAATCAATTTTACTGTAAAATAACTGCCATGTTATATTTCTTATTAATGATAATTAATCTCTATTGTATCAAAGAATTTAACAAATTATGGAAGAAGACATTTAAAACTATTCACCAACTGTCATGTTTTGTGGGACACCCTGTATGTAAAAGGACTGCAGTATCTGATCTATGTTAACATGAGGAAATCATGACACAGTCCCTTTTAATCGATCATCACATCCGTTTACCCGCATCAAGGAATTTAAATTATTCCTAGCTCTGAAGTCAAAGGAATTGAGTTTATTTCCACAAACCCAAATTTCCTAATCCCTGTATATTTGCAACCTAGATTATTCATAGTTTGAATTATCAAAGATTAACGACATCATGTGTTAAAAAGATATAGAGATTAGAAAATTTGAGTTTGTGGTAGAAACTTTAATAAAAAGTAAGATTTTTAAGTACTTGCGTCTGTTTAACTATCCTTAGGTAGATCCATTCATTAATTTCGACCTCAGAATCTACACTTTGCATGTCTGCTTGTTTGTTTGTTTGTTTGTTTGCAATCAAATAACGTCAAAACGGTTAAAACGACCGGGTCCACATTTTAGCGGACCTCATCACATAATCCCATAGGGAATGTTTATGGATGTGAAAATTGTAAAATTGTAAAAATTTGTTTTAACGAACTTCGATTTCATAACAATTGTAAGTTAAAATCGAAGATTGGCGCGAAGTGCTCTCTGGAAGTCGAGTTTTTAATTAGTTGATAAACACGCTAATTGCAAACCTTCATCAGATGTTATTTTAGACATGGTTGGAGTGGATTATTAGTTGAACCAGTTGTCCGTCAATATCAGCATCTTAGGTAGAAAAAATAATAGAAAAAAATCAGTGTCACAATAGATATCATTGTTCTCATGATCACCTCATAGACGTGTTTTTCTATTGTATCATGTTCTGGGGCGGATACAGGGGGGGGGGCGTGGGGACATTCTCCCCCCCTGAATTTGGAATTTTTTGTTCCTATTTTCAGAATAGCTTCTCAATAGCATGCTTAAGGGAAAGAAACCCTAGTGCAAAACAGAAAAAAAATATCTGTCTTAATAAACTAAAATGTGTGAAAAGTTAAAAATCTAGTTTTTTAGTCTTTAGTCATTAATTTTAACTCTTTTTGAGTCTTTTAAGCCAAACAAATTTTCNCCCCCCCCCCTCACTTAAATCCTGTATCCGCCCCTGATAATGTTTTAAAATTTAAGAAAGCAAAGAGCCAAACCTGCATGAATTGAGTAATAACACAATGAACACACAATATTTATATTTATATTCTAGATGATATTGTTTTGTGAAATATGAGAATTCGTGTTAACGGATACAGTCTACAATATGGAACTTTTCTAAAACATGTATTTTTCAAAGCAGTGGTTGTAAATAGGGTTTCCAGCGAATAAAAACTTTCGCGAAAAATGCGAGTTTTTTCGTATTTTGCAAACTTTTTGGGGATTTTTCACTCGTCAGCTAAAAAAGAAATTTTGCGAAAATATGTTTTTGCGAAAAAAAAATTTCCTGAAAACCATATCTGCTACAATTCAATGTGCAAAAAACACTTTTAGCAGTAGAACTTTCTTATCATAATTAAAAATTTCTCTACGTATTTATTTTGCAAAATTTTCGCAGTTTTCCCTTGAAATTTTCGCATTTGAATTTTCTCGTTTTTTCGCTAAATTTTTGCATTTCTTATTTAGCGAAAATTCGCCTTTTTTGCGAAACAGAATAATTAGAGAAATTTGGTGAATATACGAAATGCGAAATTTTCGCACAAACGATTTAACCTTTTCGCTGGAAATCCTATTCGTAAAGCGTTCATCGTATTTCCAATATACTTGACAAAAACCTCACCAAATAAATCCAATTCTTTAAAGTCAACAATGAAAACCAGAAAACAGGAGATTTGACTGTCGTCTTCTTTTTTCCTTTAATCATAAAATGTCGCAAATGATTTGGAATTTAAATCTAAACTACTTTAGGTAAATTACATTTTTAGAGATCAGTTACAACGAAATTCTTAACAACATCAATTAACTAAAAGACGATCAAAGAAGACGACATTGGTATCACAGTTTTACTGGTTCTGGCTGTATGTGCAGGGTGTCTCACGAAACATGACAGGATCAGGACGATTTGTATTTCGTCTTTGAACTTTGAGTTTATTTGTGGCATTTCGGGTTCAACCTACTTTCACATGTATGATTTTTGGAACAATAACCACACTATTCTTCTATGCCCTGGCATTTCCAAAATGTGGTCTGCCTTTTTAGTGTTGCAAATATTTCCTGTGATATTAAGAATTTCGTTCAGGTTTCAATTTTATTAGCTAACTAGCTGAAGGGTCCGGCGTTGCCCGTGGAGAAAAAAATTTAATCAAGAATAAAAAATATTAAAGAAAAAAATAGATTTTTAAGCCAATAACACCCCCCGGCCACCCATAAGTAATCACCAAAAAAATTTTGCCATTTGTTCCAGCCGTTTGGCCGGCTAAAGAGAACATATTTATAAATGTCTTGTTTTATTATATAGAAATACCAAATCTAAACGAAATTCTTCATATCTCCGGTAATATTAAAAGCATAAAAAATACAGACCATATTTTTTAAATAACTGAAGGCTCTGGGATATTTTTTATTATTGCCGTTAAAATTTTACCTTTAAAATTAGGATTCTAGGACTATATATTATAGGACGCAAATTATTTCAAATATAAAGACGACCTTCAATTCGTCTTGCTACTGTCAGGTTTCGTGGGACACCCTGTATATCCGTGTAGGCGGCTGAACCGAAGAACCTGGTCAGCCCAAACCTGTCTTTCTCCGAGTACTCATCCAACCACAGTAGCTTTCTCAACAGCAAGGAAATCCTTTATGCATAAAATTAGTTAAAGGGATTGTAGACGTAATTTCCAGTTCAACATATTTAAAAAAGGGACTATCCCGAAACACAAAGGTAATCTTTGTCTTAGAAACAATTAAGGAGAAAATGCCGTTTTTTATTTAAAAATGTTGAATTCTGAACTTTACGTTCTATGACTCTCCTGCATAAATTTCAAAAGGTACAACGGGTAAAAATTATAACTTTTTAAAGATAGAAAACGAGGATAATTTAATGATTTTTGTCAAATACAGGTTTTTCTCCGATTTGTCTATTTATTCATCATGGAAAAGTTATTTATTTTACAAATATTTTTTTTAGAAATTATCATGTTTGTGGGAGTAAATTGAATAAGATGGATTAAAACATATGATTCCTTCACCTTTTTTTTATACTCCCTAGGCTATACTCCTTGCACAATACTATACTAAATGCCATCTAGACTTTGAGACAATAATCCTGTTAAACGTTTACATTTAATAAAAGCATAACAGTTGTGGATTAAAGTTCGCAAGTAACCATGGATGGAATACTGGAGAACGGAGAGGAGGGAGAGGAAATGCAATGCATACCTTTAACCTCGCTTATACTTAGGAGGAGGAGAAATGGAAGAGAAAGAGGAAAAAGGGGAGCTGGAAGTGGAGGGGGATGGGTAAGAGGGGAGGCAGGGAAAGATTTTGGTTCCAGTATAGGTCAGTTAATACAGCATATTTTGTTTAGGGTAGATTTACTAAGTTTGGATGTTGAAGGGGCTGAGTTTAATGTATTGAACAGTCTAGATTGGTCTAGGATTGATATCAGGTATCTATATATATATATTTTCTGTTTGTTTGCTTGTTTGCTTGTTGTAAGTATTAAACGTGAAAACGGCTGAATCAATCGAAGTTAAAATCGAATAGCCTAGTTTTATAAATTTTTATTACATTGGTACCTTCTAAATGGAATTGATTTTTATAAAACAAGAAATTAGAATTTTGCATAAAACTGAGTTTTTCGAAAAAATATCGGAGCTTGAAGATTAATCTTGTACATCAGTGAATTTGACGGATTTTGTTTTATGAAAATTGTCTTGAATCATTTACGATTTTGATTGACAAAGGGTGATATCAGTCGAGACGCAGTTCAGTGATGAGTTCGGGATAGAAATGTCACAGATTGAGACTCTTTTAAATCTTCAAGGTTAATTTTTTCATTTCTTTCTGCAACAAGCAATGACGGCTTGGAAAACAGTATGGCTTTTGGGTTTAGATTAGTTTGTATTTTTCAACTGCACAGGCATCCGGATTTAAAACTACAATTCTCTAGTTTAAAGTAAGTAGTTGGTAATATGCTGATGGATACATTCACACTTTAGATTACTGTGAATCATATATGGTTAGTTAGGTTTTTCAAAACATTTTTAGTTTAGATTTTTTCCAGTTAGAACCAGAACATGCGGCGTTTAAATTTCCTAGTTTATGATTTGAAAAACAAACACATTATTTGTGTTTTGTACACAGAATCATATTTCACTTAATAAGGAACATTCCATAAACTATACAAGTAAAACTATTTGCTTTTTAAGTTTGTAACCACATTAAATACACATAAGATTTCTAAATTTTCGTCTATTTCATGCATTAGTCGGCGTTTACATCAATACAATGAAGACGACTTTTCTATCTAAGCTTTGAGTTTTACAAGTAAACAAAGATAAGTTGTAAATTGACAGTCTCTGCTCAAAGGCTTTGTAGAAATTTAAAATCCAAGTCGTCTTTATATTGTATTTCTGAATACGACGATGACTGCAGTTTCTGGTTTTTGCCATAATTTAAAATATTTTTAGGTTTTATCCTTCTTGATCAAATATCCAGAGATTCTGTCTTTATCCAAGTAAACAGTTATTAATTTTATATTTTATATTTTGTTTTAAATTCATAGCTCGTGACAAGAATTCAGTTCTTTTGCGTTTGTTCACAATAAATTGAGGTTTGTTTTCATTGCAAGGATTTACGTGATGTCACATTTTGACAATAAGAATTTTCGTAAAATCTTTTTATGTTGAATTCACGTTTACAGTGTGAAAAAAGCGATCTTTAAGTTGTACTTAATTGTTTTATTTATAAAAATTAATTATTATTATTTATTTCATTATAACAAAAAACGCTCTTAAGTGTTATTAAGATATTTTTCAAATAAAAAATGTCTCCAGGTTCCCCGAGCTGATCTACTCCAGATTAAACCTCATCTACCAATATTTTCAAGAAAACTACAAGCTAAAGTAAACTATATATTTTCAAGAAAACTACAAGCTAAAGTTCACTATATATTTTCAATAAAACTACAAGCTAAAGTAAACTGTATATTTCCAAGAAAACTACAAGCTAAAGTAAACTAAATATTTTCAAGAAAACTACAAGCTAAAGTAAACTATATATTTTCAAGATAACTACAAGCTAAAGTAAACTTTATATTTCCAAGAAAACTACAAGCTAAAGTAAACTAAATATTTTAAAGAAAACAACAAGATTAAGTTAACTATATATTTTCAAGGAAACTAAAAGCTAAAGTAAACTACATTTTTTCAAGAAAACTACAAGCTAAAGTAAACAGTATATTTCCAAGAAAACTACAAGCTATAGTAAACTATATTTAAGATTATTTACATAAAACATCTGAGAACTCGCTTAAGGCTCAAATTTTCTTATCTATTTATCTTAGACCTTTGATTTTTCAAGCTTTAAATTCTGCTAAATCAAATAGTCATAGTTTGAAAAATTTGAAAGCTTTAAACCTACTGGTTTCAAACACCAAGATATTAAAACTCAATATTTTAACTTTTGTTTATCGTTCATTTTCCACTTATCGACACATTCATATCATAATATTTTTCTTTTTCTGAATTGAATTTTCGTTATGTAGCTAATTTCAAGTTTCAAATGTTTCAGTTACTTTAAAAATTTAAAACAATTTAAATATTTAGGAAATTTTGTTGAGGGACCCGTACCCTCTAGCTGGACCTATTTGTGTGTTTTTCAGAGTACCAAAAGGAAAAATATTTTAAAATTAAACTTCAAAATCTTCAAAGCTTTATTTTGTTATATCCAGCCCTTGAGGGGAAGCATTCATTATTTAACTTTTGTGAGTAAAGTTGGATGTCTTAACGTGTGTTAGAAACAACTGAAACAATATTATCACAAAAGCTGAGAACCAGGCTGAAACAATATTATCACAAAAGCTGAAAACCGATTAAAAACTCTTCTTAAAACTCCTATCTGAAACTTTGAAGCATTTAGGAAATTTTCACATTTTGTGTTTGATTTGCTTCATAGTTCTGAAAAATGGAGGTATCGGGGTGGTTGACACTGGTTTAGCAAAAAAATGTTTTTTTTCTCATCCTTGCTTTAGAAATCTTTAATTTAGTTTAAGATCCCATAGATACAGTTTGATAATTTGAAGAGATTTGTGAATGTATTCTTTGCAATCACTTGAAAAATATTTAAATTTAAAATTTTGCATGGGTTAGAAAAAGTCACCAGCCACTGCAAAATTCAGTTCCCAATGGATTTTTACAGGTGTTAAGAATTTACAGTGATAACCAGAAAACTGTGTAATAGAAAGACGACATTAATGCAATATTGAAGTGTATTGATTACTTTTAAAATCAAATCAGGTTTTAAGTGAACTGGGTTTGTTTACACATTGCACATTGCTGTACATTATGTGCATTTGACAAAAAGTCATTTCAGTCTAAAAGTTGACTTCTTATTCCAGGGTTTTCTGGTTCTCACTCTATAAAACTATGTTTTACATTTTTCATTTTGGTGATTTTTCAAAAAAGAAAAATTGTCTTTCAAAGCTAATCACCACGAATAGTTTTTTTTTGCTCTCTCATTGCTATTTCCGCTAGTTACGCTTTTCCTAAATTTTCTTGTTTTAGACCTATCTTGTTTAGACCTATCTTGTTTTAGACCTATCTTGTTTTAGACCTATCGCTGAGGAAGATATCCTAGAGTGTGCTGTTAGAAGATCTTGCCCAGCAGATTTTTTCTCTTTAATTGAAACCTTCAAGATTTCTACATCATGGAAACTAGTTTTAACTGACCCATGTTATCTTCTTATATCTCTCTAAATATTAAGTTTTCTACATCATGGAAACTAGTTTTAACTGACCCATGTTATCTTCTTATATCTCTCTAAATATTAAGTTTTCTTCATCATGGAAACTAGTTTTAACTGACCCATGTTATCTTTATTAATAAAACAGAAAATATGATTTTGACTTATTTTACATATAAAACTCTTTGCTCATTTATATTTGTTTGCTATAGCTGACCAAATGGGATGAAACTTTTTAAGGGAACCGTGGGTAGGCTAAAAAATATTGGAATTTTTTTAAATCAAAATTCAAAATTTTTTATTCCGCGGGCAACGCTTGGCACTTCAGTTTGTATATTATATTAGTCAGATTAAAAGAATGAAAGCGTCGAAGAGTGGAAAAAGACTAGAAGATTGTTAAGAAGATTAGAAGAATGGAAAGAAAGCAAAAGATGATTAAAACAAGTACATTATACAAGAATGGAAAGAAGACAAAAGAAGATTAAAAAAGTACATTATATAAGATTGTTAAGAAGATTAGAAGATTGTGAAGAAGATATAGGAGATTGTTAAGGAGATTAGAAGAGTGGAAAGAAGACAAAAGACGATTTTAAAAAGTACATTATAGAAGAGTGGAAAGAAGACAAAAGAAGATTAAAAAAGTACATTATAGAAGAATGCAACAGTGGTCCAGGGATGAGCAAAACCCTCTATTTGAATCATCAGAATTTAAATTTTTAAAGTGTTTTTATGAAAGTTTATATATATTTTGGAACAGGGAAGATGAAAATTTTAATTTAATTTAATTTTTTCCTTTATAGAATTTGTTTTTCAAAAAAAAGTTGTAAATATCTAATAAAAATCTGGTTTTCCCAAAAAAATGTTCCAATGAAATCAAAATTTGGCAATAACTTTTTTTACTAAAAAAGTAACACAATAAAAAATTAGATTAATGATATTAAAAAAAAATTTCTGTTTTTTTTCAAAGGGGGGACCTAAATTTTATTTTAAAAAGATGTTTTTTTTTGAGAAATAAATGTTTGTAGTTCTTGGGATTTTTTCCCCGAAATATCCTGTGCATGAGACCTATGCCAAAATGTTGCAATTGAAGAATAGAAATGGTAGGAAAAAAAATTAGCTGCACATACTTGCACATGAGGTGTCAATAGCAAGTTTTATAGGGTGCACTAAAATATTAAAATTGAGAGGTTGCGTGATTATATATTTTTTCTTTCTTTAATTCTTGCATTTTACACTATTGTTTCATTACAAAACAACTCAATTATTACAAATAATCTTTCTAAGGGGTGTACAAAAGGGGGGTTGGAAAAAGACTAGAAGATTGTTAAGAAGATTAGAATAGTGGAAAAAAGACAAAAGAAGATTAAAGATTACATCATAGAAGAATGGAGAGAAGATTAGAAGAGTGGAAAGAATACAAAAGATGTTTAAAAAAGTACATTATAGAAGAATGGAGAGAAGATTAGAAGAGTGGAAATAAGATTAGAAGAGTTGAAAGAAGATTAGAAGATTGTTAAGAAGATTAGAAGAGTGGAAAGAAGACAAAAGATGATTAAAAAGTACATTATAGAAGAATGGAGAGAAGACTAGAAGAGTGAAAAGAAGATTAGAAGAGTGGAAATAAGACAAAAGATGATTAAAAAAGTACATTATAGAAGAGTGGAAAGAAGACAAAAGAAGATTATAAAGTACATTATAGAAGAATGGAAAGAAGATAAAAGATGATTAAAAAAGTAAATTATAGAAGAGTGGAAAGAAAACAAAAGAAGATTAAAAAGTACATTATAGAAGAATGGAAAGAAGACAAAAGAAGATTAAAAAGTACATTATAGAAGAATGGAGAGAAAACTAGAAGAGTGAAAAGAAGATTAGAAGAGTGGAAAGAAGACAAAAGATGATTGAAAAAGTACAAAAGAAGAGTGGAAAGAAGACTAGAAGATTGAAAAAGACATTAGAAGAGTGGAGAGAAGATTCACGTGGATTTAACGGTTCTTTCAATATTTCAGAACACTGTGACTTCCGATCACAATTTGACCCCTTATGCATAACTTTATAGCCTTTTTTCTTAAATAACTTTTGGTTGGTATGTACATTTTGAATGAAAAAGTATGACATAAACAAATCTGTAAGTTTAATGATTGTTGAAATATAGACGAAAACACGTTTGATTTCAAATAAAAGAAGCAGGATGCTTCTCTCTGTGGTTAGTTCAGTGTGGATTAGAAGAATAGAAAGAAGATTAGAAGAGAAAAAAGAAGATTAGAAGAGTAAAAAGAAGATTAGAAGAGTGGAGAGAAGATTAGAAGAATAGAAAGAAGATTAGAAGAGTAAAAAGAAGATGAGAAGAGTAAAAAGAAGATTAGAAAAGTGGAGAGAAGATTAGAAGAGCGGAGAGAAGATTAGAACAATGGAAAGAAGATTAGAGAATTAAAAGGAATATTACAAGAGTTGAAAGAACATTCATAGGAAAGGCTTATAAAGAATGGAGTTTATACTTTCCTTGCACTGGCATTTAAAAGTTTATATCGATAACATTTAAGTTTGACATTTATTTTTATTGTGAAAGACTGAAAGGGGCCTGATGCACAGAAAAGGGGGGGGGCGGAGATTTTTAAATTTGATTTAAATAAAAATTATATATAGTTTGTTTTAATTCCTAAAATCAACATGGAATGTTTTAGATTTTTTTTTAACATCACCCCTGGGCCCTGCAGAGGTTTAGAGGCCTTTAAGATTCCTCCGTTAGAGGACAGGGGAATAGATGCAGACTAGCGATTGAGGCTAGAGGATAAAGTAAGAGGATGAAAAAACCATGAGCCAGGTTTGTTAGAGAGGAAAATTTTAATGTCCAATTTATTTCTTGAAAATGCTCGTTGACGCCATTAGCTTGCTGATACTTTCTGACTTAGAATTACTAATCTAAAAATTGGATTATAAACTTTTGTAATCTTTAGGGTTTCCAGCAGAAGCCATCCTAATGGTGCAAAAACACGGAATTCAGTATTTTTGCGTGAAAGTTTATTGTTCGAAAACAGGCGAATAAACAAGGCGAAATTCCTCGCAAAATTTATATGCGAGAAAGCGCAAAAAATGCGTAATTTGTAGATTAACAAAATATTGCCCGCAAACTGCGGAATTTGTTAACGACAAATTTTTTTAAATTCCGCTAGAAACCCTCACTCACGTGTAAATATTTGTAAAAAAAATGTTTCAAGATTTTTCTGACATTCGTCCTTTTTTTGATGTATCTTTAAACCTTCCGAGCAACATAATCGTTTATTCAGTGATTAATAATAGTACAGAAAGAACACTAAATGTTTCTTTTAAAGATATAGAGGTTTACCGTTTACAAAAACCCTGAGGAAGAGACCAAAAACAGTTACGCGCATTCTCTCTGTTTGTCTAATAATTCAACGCGGCATGAGCGTAACTCCTTCGGGCTTTAGTCTCAGAGTTAGTGTGAACGAAAAACCCCTGAATCTTAAAAAGATGACATTTTGTGTTCGATCGGTGTTTTTATTAATTTATGCGTTTATGTAAGAGATGAACTTGTAAACAAAAGTTAAGGTAACTTAAAAGTATAGTTTGGAAAAGAGTTTGTATAAGGTGGTAGGCGATAATATCAATTTAATGAAGACGACTTTTTTATTTCAGTTTGAATTGTATAACAAGCATTTTCGAATTACAAGTTTGCAAGTAATTAAAGAGAAGCTTTTTTAATTGACAGATTCTTATTGTTTCCATATTTCATGTATCCATTTTTTTAAAAGATTGAAATAAATCAAAATTGAAATCGAAAGCCGTCTTCATTGATATAATCGCCTATCACCGAATAATATTTTAGGGATATCTATACGTTTCAGGAAAAATGTGGTTTTACATAACCTCTTCATCATGTAAAGCTTTTTTAAAAATTTTCAATCGTAATTTCTCTTTAAAATTGTGTATTTAAGGTAAAATGTTAAAACCAAAGCAAATATTCAGCTGAGTCTATTTACTAATTTTGACGGGGAAATATTCCATTTTAATTGACAATTTTACAGTTTAACTAATAACTTCAGAGACATCGAAAAAATTAATAAATGTCGTATTCTAAGCCTCATAATCTTAATAGAATGAATTACGGATATATAGTTTTTTAATTGAATATTACATGGATCTCTGTTCCCGCATACTTTGGCTATTTATTTATTATTTCAAATACTGACGAGATTTAGGTGAAACAGTAAAAAAAACCTATTGAAAAATGATCAAGACGATAAATTCTTTATCTAGATGTCTCTGATGTTCAGGGTTAAACTGTACATAGCAATATATATTACTAGCTTAGGAACCCTGCGTTGCCCATGTTTGTATAAAATGCCTTCTTTTTGAGCGAAAATTTTATGTTTTTTAAAAAGAAAATGGTATTAAAGGTTTTAAAAGCTAGTTTTTGTACATTTTCTTTACACTTTTCAGATTATTAAATGCCGTTTTTTCGAAATTAGAAAATGTAAATACTTTCAAACTAGATCAAACCTCACTTTTTATTTTTTTCATGAATCTCACTACCTTAGAACTTGACACTATATACTTTTATTTTATAAAACTGTGGCATTTTATACCTACAGGCGTTGCCCAGGTTACTCATAGTTACTTCTGCCGTTTTTTCCTGCGCTTGGTTGGTTAAAAATAACTATGTTAGCAATTTTTCTCTTTACGTTTCTTTAAATTTTTCAACTATAAAATCTTAAAACCAAGCTGAGAATAATTTGAGGAAAAACGGTCCATGGGGTTCATGAGTTATGATCGGAAATTCTAATACCAACAAATAAACAAACAGGGATTACTAGCTTGAGAACTAAAAGTTACTCCCACCGTTTACCCGCACTCTAACGATTTTACTGGAAAACTAAATTTTCGCTCCCAAGTATATGATTGGACAAACAACCAGACAGACAGACAAACAGAGATTACAACTTTATAATTAAAAGTAAAAATTGGATTTATTTATTATTTTTATTTTTCATCTAGACGTTCGTTAACGGCTAGTTGAAACCATAATACTGTTCGTTTTTTAGCTAGAAACGGAACATTCGTTTCGTTAACATATTTTCCGTGTTTACAAAACCTACCGCTAGTTGAATTTTGCCGTTTTTTCAACACATCCGTTTCGTTTTTGTATTTAACTTTTTTTTAAATACCTATTTATGTTAGTTAACAATTTAAAAATTAATGGTTTTTGCTGTCGGTAATGGGCTCTTTTGTTAATTTTCAAAAACCTCCGTTTCGTAAGGGAATTTTGATCTAGCCTTTTTGAGCTTGGAGCAAAAACCATGGGAAAAAAATAATTCTGCCATTTTAACTGTTTATTTTAGAGGATGAAGGCGATGTTACTTTTACTATTTCTATGCGTCCTCAGCACAAGATGTGTTGTGGACGCACAATCTGAAACTTCCACAGCAGACCTAGTCCCTGAACTAGAGTTAGCCTTGGATCCACCGGATGAAACGATGGAGGATGAGCTAATGGACGATGGATCGATGGATGATGGATCGATGGATAATGGAACCCAATCCGTTATTATTGATCCAGGGAACCAGTTTAAATCATTTTTTTTTGTGAAAAATAAGTGGTTCTGTCCGAGTATACGATTTTTGGACCCCCCTTCCACCCTCCTATCGATTTTGTACATTTATGTTTTTATTATTTCAGGGTTAGGTTAGGTTAAGACAATTTCTGGGCCGAGCACTGCGGCTAGGATGGGCTAGGGGGCCGAACGCTGCAGCTAGGACAGGCTATGGGGCCGAGCGCCTCGGCTAGGACAGGCTAGAGGGCCGGCGCTGCGGCGAAATGATCAATTTTACAAAATGTACAAAATTGATAGGGGGGGGGGAGGGGGTGGTCCAAAAATCGTTCTCTATGAGATTACCTTTTGTGAGAACTCTTTGTTGTGATTTCCAGTGACCTTATATTTTAACAGGGGGTATTACCCGATTTACAACAGTACCCTTGAACATTTTAACTCATCAATATTATGGAAGATATTGTTGTTTTTCTAGATTGACAGTGTTCCTCCATTGTTTTTAAGGATATATCCGCAAGTAACCTTTCAAATTCACTTTAGCGTGCATTGATCTATTTCTATACACAAATTTATTTTGTTACAATTTTGACATCATAATAATATTCTGAGGTGAACGAATTGACTAAAAGAAGTTTTTATTTTATACGAACAGACATGTTTTTTGTTGTTTTTGATTTTGTTATACAGTGAAATCCTGTTAACTGCGGAATAAAATTGAATAACAAATGTCGCATATATAGGATTTTGTTCCAACAAATACTTTTCTAAAAATGTTCAGGAAAAAAATAGTCTGGTTGCAAATAACAAAACCCTTATCAAAAGAATTTAAGCTTAGGAAAACACTTAAATTTTCGAATTCCTTTATCTTTGCAACCTGATGGTGTAAACCTTTGATGTTTCAAGATTTAAAATGTTTTACGATATTGGGTAGCAAAGATGTAGGGATAAGAAAATAAGAGTTTGGTGACAAAGAACCAATTCCTTTCTTGATTAAAATAAAAAAAGAAAAAAGAAGACTTTCTAGTTTTCTGGTCCCCACTGTATGTAGTTTCAATTAGTATAAATGATACAGTGACGACATTTAATAACCCATCTGTTTGAATATCAAGAAAAGTCAATTATTGTAAACTGAGTTCAGGGCTCTCATGGGAAACATTGGCAAGCCTTCCCAACTTTACACACATCAAACTAGGAGTAGTCATAAACCAAAGGTAGGTATAGGGTGTCCCAATAAACCAAAGGTAGGTATAGGATGTCCCAATAAACCAAAGGTAGGTACAGGTTGTCCCAATCAAAGGTAGGTACAGGTTGTCCCAAACCAAAGGTAGGTACAGGATGTCCCAAACCAAAGGTAGGTATAGGATGTCCCAATAAACCAAAGGTAGGTACAGGGTGTCCCAATAAACCAAAGGTAGGTACAGGGTGTCCCAATAAACCAAAGGTAGGTACAGAGTGTCTTAATAAACCCAAGGTAGGTATAGGGTGTCCCAATAAACCAGAGGTAGGTACAGGGTGTCCCAATAAACCAAAGGTAGGTACAGTGTGTCCCAATAAACCAAAGGTATGTAATGTATCATTAAGCCAAAGGTATGTCTATTGTGTACAGGGTGTCCCAATAAACCAAAGGTATATATTGTATCACTAATCTAAAGGTGTGTCTATTGTGTACAGAGTGTCCCAATAAACATCAAAATTTATACTTTGATTTCACTAATTGAATGCCCCATTATATTCCAAGCAGAAGACTAGTTACTCTCTACTTTACAAGCAATAATAATTTTCAACTCCATGCATTAATAAAACAAAAGGATACTTAAACAAATGCAATTGGTACAAAAGAAACATTTGTACCAATGATTGTGATACACAGCTGTGCAAAGAAACATTTTGTGCCAATAATTGTGGTAAACCTTTAAATTATATTAATGTAATTGGTAGATTTGAAAAAAATCGTCCATTCTTAAAATAATTTTGATTATAAAGAAAAAAGAGGCAATAAAGAATCTCAAACTGAGTAAAATTATACACCAATCAATTTATTATTGTTTGAATGGGATTTTCACTTATTTTGTTATTTTAGATTTAAAATCGGCTTAGAGGGGGGGAGGGGGGTGGATGGCAAGGTTGCCCTCATCTTACGTATACGCCCCTGAATTATCTATATTTAGATGGATTGGAGGACCGATGAATGTAATGAAAACAATTATCAAAGACAATATTGAGCAGGTAAGATGACAGAGGACATACCTTTTGAGTTGTATAAATAGTGATGGCCGTATCATTTAGCTTCGCTTTGAGACATTTACTGAATTTTTGACGTTTAAAGGGACCGTTCACTTATTTTGGTGATTTCAAAATAAACTAATTAGCCTATTTGCTATTCAGTTGTATTAGTCTAACTATGACCAGAGAAAAAGCTGATTTATCGTTTAGAATTCCAGCGGATAGGTATGATACCTTTAAATAGACACTTTAGTTAAACCTTATTATCAGTAACAACAACCCAATCAAATCTAAAATTATCATTAAAGATATCTACAATTAACTATTAAATACTACAATTTAATATCTTGGTTTTGCAGAGCCCTTAGATTAGAACTATTGTGTAGATTTCTACAAAGACGACTTTCACTTTTTAGTCAACCTCAACTTTACTGGTTGGTTAACCTTACATACTTACTCATACTCTTTTGTAGCCCTAGTCATATGGATTTTAAAAATACAACGCGCTTGTTTGTTACTTAAGTTTATAAGGAGGTATTGGCAAAATACGAATAGATTTTTGCAATAGAGAATATCTTGGTTTGCAGAGCGCTTAAAATTAGAATTTTTGTGTATATTTTTTAAATCTTGAACACTTGATTTCAATATACAATGAGGTCACTTTTAAATTAGAGGATTAATGCTTGATCAACCAATAAAAGTTGATCCTGCAGTACGGGATATCAAATTAATTCGTAGACTTGCACAAGATAGAGATTTTAGAGATATCCTTTAAACAAGATGGAGATTTCCTTTGCACAAGATGGAGATTTCCGATTCACAAGATAGAGATTTCCGTTAAACAAGATGGAGATTTCCTTTGCACAAAGATAGAGATTTCCGTTAAACAAGATGGAGATTTCCGTTGCACAAGATGGAGATTTCCGAGATTCACAACAAAGTTCTGGCTTCGGCAGGAATAACTAAAATTAGGATCCTATTCCATATGTTTGAAAGGAGTTATATTGAATATCGAGATCAATATTTGTAGATCTGCAGTGCCACTTTACACAATAGTTTTTTGTTAAAAACAAACTGATATCGGATCTGGAAAGAAGTGTTTATACTATCCATAATAAGTTTAAATGCATATTGATACTTATTAATTTCACAACTCTGGAAAACTCAAGTTTATTTTTTATATTTTGATAAAATTAATCTATTTTGCTGAAATTCGAATATTAAATATATTTAACAAAATTTTTCAAAATAATAAATTCTATGTGGTTTTGAATATAAAAAACATTTGAATGAAATTATTTCTCAAAATCGTTCTTATATCATGATTCTCCACCAGAAATTATTGAAAAGAATTGATGTTATGATTTCTGTGACAATAAACTGCAAGCACAAAACCAAATTTCTCATTCTTAATAATTGTATTCATTATTTTGTACATTCGAATTAAAGATTTACCAATTTGACTTGTTTCAAATGATACAAGTTATTTCCTAACCAAAGGGGACACATTTTTAAGGCTTATTTTTTTTGTAAACACAAATTTCAGATCACCCTTTGCAGGATAAACTTACAAATAACTGACCCTTTTTCCATTAGCTGTTCTTCGTACATCATAATTTAAAACAATAATTGAAGATTTTTTCCTTTTCATTGGAAGATCTCCAAATCAAATGTATACTACTAATAAGCAATACAAAATTTAAACGGCCATAACCATTCCCTGGGGTCATGTAGGTGTCGGGTACCTCAAAAATATGGTCCCAAATTTTGGAAATGTTGGCGTTTATTGGTAAACAATCAAACACACTGTAATAAGTAGAAAAGCCAAATTTATATTTCTTAAAAGAATATATAAGTCAAATAAGAATAAAAAGTTTAAAGTTTGATAACTTTATATTTCTTTAATAACAAAGTTTTAAAGGTTTCCACATGAACTATTTAATAAAATCGATTTCAATTATAGAGTTTTGGAGACATTTACAAATATAAATTTCTAGCATGTAAATGTCAGGGACAAATAACATGAATATATAAAATATATAGTTTATAAAGCCTAATATGGATGTTATGTTAACAAAAATATGACAAAGTAAATTAGATAAAACATGAACGCATTCTGCAATTATAAACGTATTTTTTCTTCTTTATTTGCAACTATAGAGTTTCCGGCAGAATTTAAAAATTTCAAATTCAGGTGTGCAATTTGGGTGCAATTTACGAAACAAGTTTGTTTGCGCAAAAATGTAAAATTTTGTGTAAGGTGTCAGCAATTATACCTGTGTCTGTCCGCGATTTTACCCTTGGAGTTTAAACCGATCCATTTCACTCCGTATAAGTGGATTTCCAAGCTTCCGGTAAAATGTACAACAACAACAAAAATACATTGATCGCGGCTTAAATGTCTTCTATCCATTTAGGGGACTTCAATGTAATTCTAAGTTAACTTCCATTGATAAATGGGCATACCTGATTCACAACGGTACCCCTTGCATGGATGGTCTCTTGACATTATGCTTACTTACATTCCACTATAGTTTCAGCAGAAGTAAATATTTCCATTTACTGATAGCGCCAATTGAAGGATTCATATCTCTAATTGGATGACGAGATAGATAGAAAGATAGATGTTACCGCCATCCTTTTTCTATTGGTTCAGAATAGACGGCATACATGTGACTGAACCCTGATTGGATCAGGCACTAATAGACTCGGCATACAAGAGTGATTCCCTGTACTTTCACGGTGTATATGTTTTCTAGGCTGAAGCGAATGTTCTGAAAAATGGAAAGATTGATATCTTCTGGTCGGATGGTATGTTTTTATATTATTTTTAATATATTATGAGAAAAAACGAAGTGAGGTCAAAACATTTAAATGATAATTCGCGGGATCAAGCAGTTATCCCAATCTTATGAGGTCTGAAGGATTAAATCTAATCTAACTAAGGATTAAGTACATTTTCTGAAACTTAAAAGTTGTCACCCTTGATATTGATATCAAGTGTTATTAACACTATTTTACACAAAAACGTGTTGACCTCCACTATATAGCCAATCAGATATTTAGAATAAAGCGTTTTTCATAATACATATTAATATAGAAAAGTTGCAACAAAAAAACGTCATAAAAAATGATTTTTTTCCAAATTATTCAATTTTCATACTGTAACCTTCACTTATCTTTTGAATGCTAAAAAACTTATTTACTTAGATAGGGGCGTATTCAGGATTTTTTAAGAGGGGGGGCTTAACATTTTATCTTTCAGCAGGGTGGGTGGGGGTGAGAGGTTCTCATCACCTGTTTTTGGCCTTGTAAGGCCATAAGTAATTTGAGACATTTTTTTATTCAATTATTTTTTTAACGAAAAGAACTGAAAAACATCCTTGTTTTACTTTTGAAAAAAATTGTTTTCAAAAAGTTCCAAGCTTTGAATATTGAAGTTTGCACTTTATTATTTTTTTTCAACAAAAGTTTTTAATTATTCCTATACCTTTAACCTAAAAAAAAATTTGATTTTCGAACTTTTTTGTTAATTAATATCTATCACTGCAATCGATCTAAATGTCAAACGCCTGGAAAACTAATGAGAAAAGAAAAAAGCTATTAACTGATTCATGAATTTGTAATGCTTTTGCATCCTATCTTTTGGTAAAGATATCTTTAATCGAAGAGTTTGATTTTTTGAAGTACTGAAGTACATACCTTTTTTGAGATTTAAAAGAAATTTTAAAAATTTTCATTTTATCAATTTCATCGGAAGTATGTCCATTCGTCCCCCCCCCCTTCCTGGAAAAAGGCTGTAGAGGTTTGAAAATTTGATGCACACGCAAGGTGATCATTCATCTTATTTTCAAGACTAATTGTTAAATACCACATACCGCATACCGCAAAGCATCATTCTAACCAAAAGTTCGACCAGAGGCCAAATTTAAAGAATTTGAACGGCGTCTAGATGCAATTAAAAAATGGTTGGTTCATCTTGAAATTTGAATCAGCGTCTTGAGATTTGAGCCAGCTTACAATTTTAAGCTGTAATTGACGGTTTAGCGATGCGGTTCAAATTCATTAAATTCGGTATTGCAGAATTATGTTTAGAGGACGAGATAAATGATGATTATGGAAACAATCTAACAGCTGTACTTTCATTTGTCAATTGCAAAGAGTCTCATTCCCTTTCCAGGTTCAAGACTAAATTAAATCTTCATAAGCAGTTCGGGCTGGGCGTGTTCATACTAGTTTGAAAAAGTTCAGTACCGTTGCGTTCGTTGCGTACCATTGCGTAGCGTTCAGTTCCGTTTGTTCCTGTGAAAGAATGTTTGTTACCCAGGAACGACACACAGCCTTTAAGCTGGGTGTGTTCCTTCTTATAATCCTTTGTTCCATTACATTCATTAAAGTAAAAAAACAATTCTTCCCCAGGAACGAGACCCAGTACTTACAAGCAATCATCTTTGATCTGAGATTAGCAATTCTTAAAAAAAAGCAAAAATCAAAATGAGTTTGAAGTTTTAGGAATTAAGTCTATCTTTTTTACTTTAAAAACTCTTAGAATGTCTGAACTTTTAGAAATTTTTTTTAACAAAATTTACTTAGAGGAAAATCTTTTTGGGGTAAACTTGGATATTTATGTATTTATACATATATATTTCACAACAATTAAGCTATTAATTTAAGAAAAGTTTTATAACTTTTCACTGCACTAAAAAGAAACAACAATTTGGGCTAAAGCAATTTTCTCTTTACAAAATTAAATTTACTATTATATAACAAAAACAGTCAGTTGTAACAAGTGCAATTGTTTATGATCACATTGTATTTCAAATGTTTCTAAATATGTTTGTAAAGCGTACTTGAGAGTAAACCTGTTCTGTACCTGGCAATAACTGATATCGGATGTAAACGGTTTGAAGTTGGTGATCAGCTGATGTTTCCTCTAGTGGAGTACGCACGGGGCATTGTTCAACTTCTAGCTGATCTTAGGTAACCGGTTTTGATGTACCTTCAGTTGCCAATATTTCAAGGGACGTGTCATGAAAGGAGTGACATGTCAGATATTTTCAACAAACACGCGCGCGCGCATGAAGGATTTATTCTAGAGAATAGCCAAAAATTGTGTTATTTAGTTTCAAGAGAGAAAAATTTAATTTCTAAGGGACGGGGGGACAATGCTCTATAAAGGAGTCAAAAAGATGTCAATTCAATTAACATTCAACTGAATTTCAGATATTCTAATACCATACAGTGGGACTCCTATATTGTGATCCATGATGAATCTTTGGATAAGGAACTAGAGGGAGAAGTGTACAACGTTTTGGCAAAGTAAGAGTTTTTATATAATAGTTATAAACAATAATCTACAGATATTGGATGAAATTATCTATTAAGCTCAGCTTTGATCCAGAAGTGACCTTGATGCTTTATTATATCATTAATAAACTTTCTAAACATTAGTGGAAAGAGCGGGGAAGAAGAAATGCTAATGTCCAGCTCACAGCATAGGTAAGATTGCAATTTTTTACTATTTCCGCGGCAAAAAATTAAAGAAATTTAGAAGTGAGTTGTTTAGAATCATTGCCAAAATATTGTGCAAATCTTATCATTCTATTTTCAGGAATGATGTGGCTGTTTCCATGTTTGATTTGGGAACTATCAACAATATGTCAGCTTCAGATAGAAATATGAAACTGGGAAACTTACTTAAAGGATTTCCAGGGAAAGATCTGGGAAATCACTTTCTGATCATCTGCAAACACAGCATTGTCCAAGATATGATGAATATTGCAAAGAGTAATAAAATGTTTAACTTTGACAGTCAGTGGGTTTTCATGGTCACTGACACCAACAGCTCTTCCTTTGATATGTCCCCCTATATCAAAATGGCAAGTGACGGATACAATCTTGGGTTTGTTTTTAACACAAGCATTGCACTTCCAGGCATTGTGTGCCCAACAGGAATTGAATGTGTAATAAAATCCACCATTGATAACATGATTCAATCCTTCCAAAACATTCTTGAAAATGAGTTTAAGATATTTGATATAGTAACAATTGAAGAATGGGATATCATCAAACCATCTCCGGAGGAGCGCTCTATGGCTATTGTTGAAGATATAAAACTAAGAATTGAGGAAACTAAAGGACAATGTAATAACTGTACCAAGTGGATGATGGAAGCTGTAGAGGTAAGAGAGGCTAACAGGATAAATCAACTGGAGGTTGGAACTTGGAATCCAACACTAGGCTTAAGGTACTTAATCCGTAGAATTGTCATTGAATGAATAAGAATAATATTAGTTAGGAACACACAAACTTAAGATTTATTGCAGAAAATTTTAAAAATGAATGTTTAATTCCTTAAATATAGCTGACCCAATTTTTAGATTTTTTTTCAAATGGCCAACAGATGTTTTTATGGCCTCTAATTAGTAGATTTTTACAGCAGACAAACCTTTAAGGATTTCAATCAATTATCTTTGTTTTATTAATGATTAGATAAAGTATAAACTAATTCTAAAAGATCTGACACAATTGTTACTAGGGTTTCCAAATTTTCGTTCAAACACTTACAAGAAAATTTTGTTTAGGCCCCGAAAAAGTGAACGGATACAAAAATTTTTGTTAACATTTTTTCGCAAAAATTTTCTACAACCTATTTTTGAGAAATTTTAACCTTATTTTACCAAAATTTTGAAATTTTAGTGAAAACTTTTTATTTAAGAACTGTTTAGTTGAAGTCAAAGATGACAACTAAATTTGCTGATTTTAACATCCCTTACACAGAGCAGTTGTTGCAGAAATATTTAATTAAAATTTAACTTTCTGAGATTATTTACTAAAGGTTCACATAAAACATGATTTTCAGTCATTTCTAAATCGTCATGTTCAGTTGAACACCCTATAATAGATATACAAATACTAACAATCTAGATAATTCGTCTGCGTATTAAATTACTTTTATGTTTAAAAAAAAATCATGAACCAGGCATACTATACCACATTACCCACAAAGGATTAGAAAACAGTCAGAATTTGTTGGGTCGTCATTTATTATTGAAAGTTCCTTGCAGCTTTACATTTTTTTCTTCTTTGCCAAATCATTGAATATACCATTCACGAACTATTTTAAAGATAGTAAAGCCAACTTCAACCTTCAGATCTTCATAGTTAACCCTGTCCTGTGGCTGGGCTATATTTGTCTAAAATAGGCTGG